TAAAAAGAAATTAATATGATTATATTATACTCGTAAAATTTATTATCATTTTTTTAAAACTTAATAAAGTATAATTTACCCAAGATTAAAAGAGAGTTAGGTAAACACAAGCATGTGTATTTTTTTAGTACTTGGCATGGAGAACATAGGGCATGCTAAAAGCATTTCATAGTCATAATTTAATTATGAATTAGAGGATTGGGTGAGGCACGCACTATCATCCTTTCTGTACTTTCTTTACCATTCAAGCAAACATCATTATTTTGACCCTCAACCCCTCCCTAGGGTGTAATTTGGGTTTGGCCCGATCCATCCGAATTCAAGTTGGATTCACTTGCCTTCAGAACTCGTAGACTTTCACTTTTTTTGGATAGGGTCGGGCCGGGCTGGGCCGGCTTATGGATCAAAAAGCCTGACCAAGGCTTAGGTCCAAACTTAATATTAATAGTTCTTGGAAATTCTATGTTTGGGGTTTCTACCATACACACCCTTGGTTACGATCTTTATGTCAATGGTTATGATGTATTATGTTGTTAGTAATTGCACATTATGATGTTATTAGTTATGAAATTATTTTAGTTATGATTCAAGAGTTATTTGATTATATATATTCATTTTTAATTATTTTTAACTAATTTTTTTTTTTTTTTTTTGTTATGACTAAAAAAATATGAAATTATGTAGTTTTTTTCGTTTGAAATGAATAATTTTGTATGTATCAAAATAAAAAGAAAGTATTACAATCATTAAATTAAATAGATAACATTTATTTAATGAATAATTTTTATTTCAAAATGAAATAAATATTACAAAATTTATATCATTAAATAAAATAGATATAGATTATTAATGATGGTAGAGCAATTGTAACACTATAGGTTAAGTACATCCTAATTAGGTTGACATTTACTAGCCTACCATTATTTGCACTATACTTCACCTCAATAAACTAATAAAAATATTACGAAATGAAATAGTAAAAAAAAAAATTGTTCATCAATCATCATAGGAGGCAGACAATTCACTCGCGTTACTCAAGGATATATCATCCAAGTCATTTTGAATTCTGTCATTTTCACTGTAATTTTATTTTCTCGTAAGCGTATATATATAATCTTTGGATATCATCAGTGCCTCAACCATTTGGGGTAAAAGCCTATTGCGGTAATCGCTCAATACCAGTCCACTTACACTAAAAGATGTTTCAGAAAGAACGGTTAGTATATCACGGGCCATCTGTGAAAGCATATGCCACATAAGTTCACTTTGTTTTCACCAATCTAAAATATCAAATTCATCGCTATCATCCACTGGTGGACTGTCCAAATGACGTTGTAATTCTAAACTACTTACGCTTGTATATTGAGATATTTTTCTACATTTTATTGCTAAAAACATACTTAATCTTCTACCTCGAGATGAGATTGGAGCAGTGTATAAATGTATTTGTAGATACAACTGTCTTGTATTCTTCGAATAATTTTTTGCATGTTTTCATAATAGGGGGCAAGTTGTTCTTGATTAGCAAAAATATGTTCTAAACATTCTTGTAAATCAATTTCTTTACACCTAGAATCAATTATTATTGCTAAACTTAAAAGATGAGGCAATGAATCAAAATATTTATCAAATTTTTCTTTCATTGTAATAATAATGGTTATATAATATTCATTAGTTTGTGAAAACTTTCATTATTTCTATTAACATATGTAAAACAAATGGTGAAGTAGGAATATATATATATATATATAGGAAAATAATTTTGTTGCAGTATCAAAAACTTTTAGAAAATATTTATATAAGACTACTTGGCGCCAATTAAGTTCTGTGGGAGTTAGTACTTCTTCTATGGATGTTGTTGCAAAAAATAAATCTATTGTTTTTCTTTATTTACAATCTCTCTTTAACATATTATATGTTAAATTCTACCTGCTATTTATATTTAAAATTAATTTTTTTTAAATGGCATATCTTCTCGTTGATAATTTTTTTTATATTCCAAAATTCGATTAGTAGAAGACATAATAGTAACAACCGCATTTTTTATTACTAATACAAAAGTCTCGTGTACATGCATAGCTTGTTTAACAACTAAATTAAAAATATGAGCACAATAACGAACATGAAATAAATCACCATTAACAAATAATTATAAAGTTGATTTCAAATAGGTTATAGTTTAATTATAATAAGTTGCATTATCTAAACTTATGGTAAATATTTTATTTTGCAAAGCTTAGCCATAAAATACATTTTTTATTTTTACCCCAAGTGAATGACCAGTGTATGAAAGTTCAGCTAATTTAAATGAAATAATTTTTTTATTTAATTTCCAATCATTATTAATAAAATGTGTAGTGATACATTGATATTCTAAACCATTATTTGACCACAAATCATATATTAAACAAATTCTTCCATTCAAATTTTTGAAAATATCAAATAATTCACTTTTAATATTCTCAATTTTTTTAAAAAATTCTATTTCTACTAGTATTTCTTGAAAAACCTCGATACTGCGATGCAAAACCTCTGCGAATCATTTCTAAAAATCGGGATATTCACTAGTTGTAAAATATGTTCTTTTCCAATAATATAATCAATTACAAAATTTTGTACACGTATAGGATCATATGAAAATGTGTGCAAATTACCAATTGATGAAATCCCTAATTACATTTGAGTTCTAATAGTAAGTTGTTGACTTTGTAAATGTCTTTGAGCATGCATTTTTAGATGGCTAGTATTCTCTACATATGCAACACTAAGTAAATATGCACAATATTTATATTTTGCTTTAAATATAGTTGTACCATCAAAATTAGTTACAGATATTCTTTGAAAATGTCCCCAAATAGTACTAGACGTGCTCTAAATAATGATGCTACTATTGGAAGAAGGATATTAGGTACAGTAAAAAGAGAATCAACAAATTCATGTTATGTATATGCGTCAATATCGACATAAACATTAAGAATATTAAGATCCATAGTAATGTAAGTAAAATAATATATATGAACTAACAATTAATTAAAATAATGAGTAAATAATAACAACTAATATATGCTATGAAATAATTAACGTCAAAAAATGAGTAACTAATAAATATTAATTCAAATAATTAATGTTATCAATTGACGAATGCGATACAAAAATTAACTTCTTTTGATAAAAGTTTCTTTTTGCACAATTACAATTGCCACTTAGAGATGAGAAAATTAATTGAGAGAGTTGAGAGATGAGAGAAATTGAGAGTTTGAGGGAGATTTGCTTGTGAGAAATAAAATGGAAGATGGGTGGTATTTATAGGAATTAGGAGAAGGGATGGGTTAATTTATAAATTTTAAAAAAAATTGTGGCCATTAGTGAATAATGGTCATTTGACCGTTTGAAATTTTTTTTTTTCAAATTTCTTATTGTTGGTGTACACTGCGCAGGGAGCCATTGGGGGAGTTGGCCCAGCATGGGCGGCAAAAATTTTCAAGTTAGGCCACGGGCTGGGCTAGGCTAGGCTATAAACAAACGATGCAGGCCCAAGCCTAGGGTCCTAGACTGTGCTTGATCTTGGGCATGGACGGGCCTAACCGGCCCAAGCCCACTTGGACTGCAAGCCGGTTTAGGACAGCCCGCGAGCTTGCAGGCCAATTTTATACGCCTACCCCTCCCAAAGCTTATCCCGCCATTTCAAAAAAAAAAAAAAAAAAAAAAAAAAAAAAATCTAAAAGCTTGAGGGAAATATATTTGTGCTATAAGAGTATCTCTAATCCAATATCAGATATTTCATCAAATTTGAATTTGATGAAAAACACCTCATTTTGGCGCTTCAACCCTTTCACCAGATTCATATCAAATAGAGAAAAAAATAAAATAAAATCAAGATTTTCATCAAATGAAGGGAGTTTTCATCTTTCATTTAAATTGTTACTGTTGGGCCGGACATCCTCCCGAATGTCTACCCAAGAGCAACTTTGACAACTTTTTTGTTCATGTCCGAAAAGACCTCTAAGACATCCGCCTGAACGACCTCCCGGACAACCGGGAATATGAAAAAATCTAATAAGATTTCTAATTTTAACTTTTGATTAAACGATATCAAATCAAATTTTTCATCAAATTTGATATTAGGAGTTTCACCTAAAATTTCCCAATCATTTGGTAATTCTGAAGCTGTTTTAATTTTAATTTTAATTTTATTTTATTTTTAAATTTTAGAGTTGCTAATATAATTCTCACTTCTTTCTTTTGCCTGTAACCACCTTTATTTATTTATTTTGAATTTAGGTATAGATCTTAATAGATGGACTTATTATTTAATAGATTTTGTAATTATTAATGACATTTTTCATCAAGTATTATTAAAAAACGTCACTAATTCTTAATTTTCAACTACAGTTTAAAAATTATCACAAAAAATATCGCTAATTATAAATTTTAGTGACAGTTAAAAAAAAAAAGTTACTAATTTTTTACTTTCAATAACAGTTTAAAAAATTTATCACAGAAAAATTTCACTAATGGTAAGTTCTAAAGACAATTTATAAAATCGTGATAAAAAAAAAATCACTAATTGTCAATTTTTAACATGCAAAAACTCATTAAAAAAAATTATTTTTAGCGATAATTTTAGTAAGACATTTTCAATATGATTTGACGGAAGTCAAACTATTAAGACATATTAATAATTTATCTTTTTTTCTTTAAAATTTAAAAAAAATAAAAAAACCCAACTAATTTCCCCCCTCCTCTCCCCCCCCCCCTCCCACTCCCAAACCTCTGTCTCACAGACGATCTATATCTCTCTTTCTCTCTCTTATCATATGTTTAGAAAACAAATGTAATAAAATTATGTAGCAATAATTATTAGACCAATCTAATCTTCTTTTTGTAGATAATCAATACAAAGAGGCCTAAAATATCAATCAATCAATCAATCAGATCATCAAAATGAGCCTGGGCTAGATGGTCTAGTCCTCATAATCTGAATGCTTCTAGTAATGTGATTTTTTGTAATATGCCACCATTAAATAGAGATCAGTGAGCTTAGTCAGCTACATTTCTCCCAAATATAGGCATGCTTAAAAGTTTGTGTTGTATACCCTCAAATGGAGAGAGAGAGAGAGAGAGAGAGAGAGAGTAGAAGCTGATTGTTTACTCTAAATGAGGTTTTCCATACAATTGTCATGAAGCAAATACAATAAAGACAGCTATTTTTAACTAGCCGAAAGATTCGAATTTCGAGTACAGCTTTTGAAATTCTCCATCTAAAGTTTGACAACATGTAAATTGCCAGCCATGAAGAGCAGCATATCACTGAATGTTGCATCCTCCAGAGTCTTGTCCTCGTCGGACATTGCCATATGCTGACAGTTCCAGAAGATCCATGTCACGACCTGCACTCACATCGAAAATCAAATTCACAGCCATTATGATTAAAGCTACAAACAAGCCGAGCTGAGCTCGACTCATTTGTGAAATATCTTCCAAATAATAGAGCTGGAAGAACACTTTACAGGACATGCAAATACCTGAAACCCTGCAATATGAACTTTTCTGGATAAGATCGGCTTTGGATATCTCGGTTCGATTTCCCTTTGATCGATTAACTGTCGCCTAAATATTCATTTTGATCCACTTATGCATAATTCCCCCAAAATTTTTTGTGTCCAAACATTACAAAAAAATAAAAAAAAAAAGAAAAAAGAAAAAATCCATCCTCCAAATTAAAAATTAAAAAGCTCATTAGATAATAAACAGTTGGATTAAAGCGATTAGCACAGAAAACAATGTTATTATGGTCTTCGTTGCTTTCAACAATAAATTTTAATCTTTTCATATAATTTGAGCAGAAATAATAAAGCAAGTCTTAAAAATATCTTATATCTATTTCACACCCTCTACTTGTCCTTTTTTTCCTAATGTTTTTATTTATTTATATATTTTTAAGTAAATCATTTCCAAACTAAATGTAACTCCCGAAGAAAATAAAATAAAATAAAATAAAATGCAACTGCAACAGATCCTGATATAAGAAAGTGTCATTTGGCATAAAAACATATATTTCGAACTCCTAATCAAGTTTTGGATGGATCTCTTTTGTTTAAGATCTCAGTATGCCATAGAAAATGTACTTACCAAGGTAATACAGTATCTAATGTTTTATGCAGTTGCTAGATTAAAGTGCATTTCAAGCACAAACTTGCCTAAAATATCATAGCGCATAAATTTCATTCCCTTTCTGTATAAGTAAACGAGGCAAATCGGAGAGAGTAGTGCCTTGTTCAAGTTTGACTAACAAGTTACAAAATGGGTTCAAAATTGGCCCATAGATTGCATATAAGCTCATCAAGTCTAGTTTGAGCCAAGTTTAGAAAATTACAAGCTTTAAAATGTACTCAAACTTGGTCTGTTTACAAAACGAGCAGGTCTCGAATGAGTTTTTAGTGAACTGAACACTAGCAGATTGTTTGTTACAACCCTACTTAAAAGAGGAGTGTCGAACACAAGCAAATTGATAATATCCAAAGCAAGTAATATGAGGAGTGTCTAAAGGGAAGCGTTTGTTACATTCTCTGAAAATGTTTTTAACATTCTTCCCAAAAATCTCAAAAGACTATGAAGCAAAAGAAACATTTTCTGAAAACCATAAAGAGAAAGGACTGAGCATGACATGCTCTCACTATGGATAGCCATCTCCTCAAAAGTTCACTAAGTCCCTCCTCATCCCAAACGGACTAACAGAACGACGGGCCACTGCTCCTGAAACCAACCTAACTCTTACCAAACCCTCTCTCCAAATCTCCAAAACTTGAAAAAATACTCACCATAAAGCATTTAACTCCAAAAGAAGAAAAGGAGATATAATAATAACTCAAAGACTACAAGGCAATGCCCCAAATGAACCACCACAGATCTCAAGGGGAATGATAATACTGATGACTATATCATTGAAGATTAACCCAGTAGATGGAATGATCGTAATCTGTAAGGTCATGACTGTAGGAGTCATAAAATCCTGATAGATTGATACATCACGCCAATTTGACAGCATCTGCCCCTTCCCTGATAACTGAGCTCAAAAAAAATCTATCACTGATTCATAGGTGCCAGTTTTTATTCAAGAATGCAGTTGTCAAATCAAGATTTAAATTGTAATTTTAAATTCTATTTTCTAAATTGTGAATTGTAAGATTTGATTAAAGTTTGAAATTTTATAAAAAATGATAAACATACATCTACAAATAACAAGCATGTTATGGAAATGCAGGATACAATGCACTTCTATTGACATGCTTGGATCAACAAGTGGGTAAAAAGCTTAACATAGTCACCGATCATTCTCTATAATTCCTTTTTGTACTTTTTGAAAGTTGCATTGAGATTGTTGACTTCTTTTTGACAATAAAATAACCCCAGTTGACAAGAATGAAGTTAGAATTCATTGTTTCACTAAGTGACGCCATCATATAGCATATGGATTGTCATTACATCAAAAGCCAAGTATGGCCATAAAAAATCCGTAGATAACCAATTCCCACTTCTTTATTATGTTTTCTCACAGTTTTTTTTATTTAATCTATTCAGAAAATTTCTACACTATATCTTGTACCATCCAAACTGATCCCTTACAGCCTCCAGGAAATTCAAGGCAAGCTTCATTTCAGTTGCAATTGCCTCAACCTCAAGTAAACATGGACAATCTTAAATTATTATATTTTCTTTTTCTTTATTATTTGTCACATGGCTAACCTTCCCCAAGTTCTAAATGCACAATGAATTGAACCGTTACGAGAGTGACTTTGGGTACTGTACCACTTCAGTGAAGTGAACTGCATTAATATATTGATAGCATTACTTCCAGGAAGGGGAAAAAAAAAATCTGTCAGCCTTGTGTAACAGAAAACGTGCTATGAAGAAACAAAACAAAACCAGATACCACACAAATGCAATAATCATACAAGGAAATAAAAGCCAAACCTGTAAAACTTGGCAGTTCTCCAATGTGCTTTTCCCCCCCTGAAAATATTCAGATCATATCCTTAGGCAGAGGTTTCAGACAACTAATTATAATAAGGCTCCAAGATAAGTAGGGTGTTGATCAAGATTACAAATCTCAAAACTTCAAACTTCTAAAAAGCAGATATCATGCACATTACAGCTATTTCACAAAAGATAAAACTGATTCCTGTGAAGCAGACAGTTGACCAGCAAGGAGTGGCTGCAATCCAAGAGTTCAGTCTCAAAAACAGAAAAGAAGCATCGGTGACAACACCTTGCTGCAACCCCGCCCAACATTCAAAAAAATACCAGAGAAAAACATACTCATATATGGGGAGAACATTTAGAATTTAGTGTTGGATCATTTTCAGAAACGGAGACAAGGTGCTTGATCTATCAATTTTTTAACAAGAAAATTAGTCCTTGAACTCCTTAATGGGATTCCAGTACCTTCAAATAGGGTGGATAGGATGAGATAGAAGTATGGGAATTAGATTTTCTATTAAGTCCCATAATTGCTTGCCTTATGGATGGTTGAGGAATCCTTTAGAAGTTTGGAGTTCCAACAGAAAGGATGAAGATGGGCATGAGTAGTATGATAGACGAGCTGTTATCGAAGAGGGAGAGTAAGAGAGGGAGATTGTGAAGAGTTAAGGAAGAAGATGAAAGAAAATAAGGGCATTACAATTAGGTAGCGTTTGGTAGAGTTTTCTAAATATGATTTAAGAATAGAGTTGTATTTTGAGTTTGTGAGTTTTGGAATTATGATTTGAGTGTAGAAAATTTGTTTGGTTATGAGTTTCAAAAAGAGTTTTGAATTGAGTTTTGAGTTGAGTGTCGAATTGAGTTTTTAATGTTTGATGTGACATGTGAAATAAGAAAATTTGTTTGGTTATGAATTTAGGAAAGAGTTTTCAAAACTTAATTCAAATTGTTATGACTCATAACCAACACACTACTCAAAACTTTATTGAAAATTCTAATCAACACTCATAAGCAAATTCTTTTTAAAATTCAATTAAAAAAATTGATTAATAATCAATTTTTTTAATTGAAAATATTAAAAAGGAAATAAATTTTTTTTTTCAAAATAAATATTCAATTACTGATTTAAAATAACTTTTGATTGGATATTTGGTTCGATCATTTGGTTCAATATTTGATTGTATATTACTGATTGTAAATAATTTTTTATTGTAATTTTTTAAAAATATTTGGTTCAATCCCAGCTGCTCACCATCTTCTTCGCTTTCTGTTGACAATTGCCACACACACACACACACACACACACACACAAAAATCACTGTAGCGGTCAACTGGCCAAACATCATCCAGGAGGATGTCCAAGGAGACGACCGAGTAGACTGAAAAATTCAAAAACTGAACGAAAAGGTGAGAGTTTTGGCGTGGAAGTTTGTTTTGGAAGGAGCTCTGCCAAACGTGAAACAAAAATATGTTTTGAAATGTGTGGTGGAATTAATTTTTGAAAACCCCATCCAAAATCTTTGTTCTTGTGAAGGGGTGGAATTGTGATGGGAAAGCTTCAGCCTTAATTTTTCTCTCAAAATTCATCCTAATGCAGTCACCACCACACACCTCACCCACAATTGAGCAACAAAGGGAGCTGGGTGTAGATTTCTAAACCTAAAGAGAGTTATAGGTTTTGGGGCCTAAATCATAGGTGTAAAGTATACTTAACCCTAAATTGTTTCAGTAAAAAAATTAATAGAGCACAATCAAAAAAATTGATGGAAAAAGAATGGGAAACACAAACAAACTGAAAACATGCAGAACAAGCAAGGTATCGCACAAAAATCATAGGGCAAAAAACCAGAGTACCTCATCATTACTTTATACTTCATTATCATTATGGAAAAAGGTTCCTCAACCACATTAAAATATATTCAGAAAAGATACCTAATTCACTTAGCTTGGTCCATTAACCCATGTTATGAAGTACATGTCAAGACTGTAATGCAGTAATTCAAGAGTATTAAAGCAGCTCATTTTATAACTCAGCAACCACAATTCCCATTATGGGTTCATATTACATCTTTCTATACAAGACTTTGATAAACCCATCGACCTCAAAAACTAGAATTTTTAAATTGATAACAATTCAACAGACCAATCTCAGATAACAATCAAACAAGCAAAACAAAATATATAAAAGCCCACAAATGAATTTGAAAACACAGCAAAATTACAACATGAACAGAGAAGCACAATGATAAAACCAAACTAACTCACAAAAGAAAAAGTGAAATTCAAGCAAACCCATATCACAAAACCCTAACAAGGAAGCGCGAGAACAACATTCATGATACGAAACACACAAATACTGACAAAAGTACAGAAAAGTAGAACAAGATTAACATATCAATCAAATCCTAACTAACCCGAAATTCAAGTGGCAAAAAATTAAAATCACACCGACCCAATTGCCCAAACCCCCAATAGCAACAAAACAAGCAATACCCACAAAACCAAACGAGTTCAACCAACATAAAGATTGAAAATTTCAATATGGAAAAAGTAGAGCAAGATTAAACAATTAGCATATTATTTACAATCGAGCTCAACTAACCCCAAATTCAAGTGGAAAAATGTTGAAATCACACCGACCCAATTGCCCAAACCCCCAATAGCAACAAAACAAGCAATAACCACAAAACCAAACGAGTTCAAACCAACATAAAGATTGAAATTTCAGTATGAAAAAAGTAGAGCAAGATTAAACAATTAGCATATAATTACAATCAAACCCCAGCTAACCCCAAATTCAAGCGGGAAACTATTGAAATCACACCGAACCAATTGCTCAAACCCCCAATAATAGCACCGAAACAAACAATACCCACAAAAGAAAAACAAGTTCAAACAAACACAAAGATTGAAAATTTCATTACCTTAGAGTAAGGAACAATGTGGTCATAGTCATGACAGAGACAACCGGGACAACCCACGAGCTTCCGGAACAAAATGTTGCCGAGATTGTCTCTGCGCCATCGATCTGGGTCTCGACCTTTGACCTTGTCGGCTTTGTCCCAGCATTGTTGCTTCACACTGTATGGAAAGCTTCTGGGATTTGGGTCGATTTGAAGGTTATCGAAGACAGTAAAGTCCTCTTCGGTTACGAGCCCACGGTCGAGAACAGAGGCTCTAGAGGGAGAGAGTCTAGACCCAGATGGACCTGGTTCGAACCCAGATGAGTTGAAAGGTGGGTCCCTGGAAGGAGATGGATAGCTCCTCCTCCTCCTCCCTCCTCCTCCTCCCTTGTTTGGCCTCATCTTCTGCGCTGTTTTGGCGCCCGCCAGTAAGACCATTGGGATAAGTTTACTGAGCTGTTTGTTTGTTTGTTTTTTTTAATAATAAAAATTAATTTGATAAAAATCAAAAGTTTATTATTAAGGTTTTATAAATTATTTTTTCTGTCAAGAAAAATAAAATCATATTAAACAAGTAAGTGTTTTTTTTTATAATTGTTTTACCAAATTAGTTTTATTTTTTTAAAAGCAAATCAAAAATATATTTTAAAAACTAAACTAAACATAATCAAATTTGACAAAATATACCTACATAATATAACCAAAATAATTGTGATTTTTCATTAAATTTTTCTTTTTTAAAATAATGAAATAGTATAGATCATAAAAAGGATAAGACACCAATAATCATGAAGTTAAAAAGAACAACTCAAACCTTCTAAGCCCCATTTGTTTTGGAGTATAGAAAGAGGGATGCGATTAGGATAGAGGTGAGACTCATTTAATGTTCTATTTGTTTGTAAATTTGGCGAACGAATTGATAAGCCAGAAGGCTTAAGATGGGCCTTGCATAATAGGATGCATAGTCTGCACCAACACTTGGTATTGAAAATTTAGTCTGTTGGTATTAGGGGAGTGATTACGTATTTACCTATCGTTGCCCTAGATCATGGGAAATTTTATTTCCACACACCTAACTATCTTAATCTACATAATTTCTTAGTGCACACACTTTGTAATTTAATTATTAATTAATTTTCTCAATCCACACATTAAATGTATCAATTATACCCTTCACTCAACTATTGTACACGCACTCCCTCAACCCTCATTCCACACACCTGTCCCTCATTTCATACACTGGTACGATTTAGAAATTTGTAGAGCTACAGTGCTACAACAATCAAAATGTAGACCCAATTGAAGAACACAATCAAAATGAAGACTACATTGAAGAACCAAAAAAACAATACTAGTTAACCTAAAAAAAAAATACCCAAAAATTAGACCAAAAAATGAAAATGAGTGGACTAAATTTACGGTAGTTGTGATAATCCTGACCTTTCCTCTAGAAAGATTAGGCAGCAAAAAAATGAGAGTGGAAATAGGGGCAACAACTAGTGTGAGGGCTAAGGAGCTTACGAAAAGCCCTGGAAGATCACCTGATCCTAATGATATCGCACCCTTATCGCGTAATGGAAGAACCACAAAGTATGCACTTAAAATCTGCAAATCAAAAATTTTGAAGAACTATAATTACAAAAAGCATAAAAATGCCTAAAAAGCACAATTAAGAATTTCCTTTTGTTTTTTGAATCGATACAGCTGATTGTGAGCTTTCGGCCGTAGTTTTTTGAAATTATGTATTTATATTGAAAATTTACTTTCGAATAAAAGTGATTAGTTTGATAAATTTGTTCCCAAAAAAAAAAAAAAAAATTTCAGCAATTGATGTCCGAATATAATGAAATAATTCTGCAGTTGATGTCCAAATATAATGAAATAATTTAGCACTGGTTGTCTGATTGAAAACCACGAAAGGAAAAATGCACGAAAAAAATAATATTTTCATCACTAATAGAGTATAAACCTAAATATTAAAACGATATGAGAGTTATTATGAGAGTATTACTTTGCAAGTAATAGAGGAGTATAGAGTGTATAGCAAGCAAAGTGACAACAATAGAAAACTAGGGTTTAGTTTTTTTTTTTTTTTTTTTAAACTCAAAATGTGTACATTGAGATTTTTTATTTTTATTTTTAAAAGATGTGTGCAGAGTATTTTCATATAATATTATGGATGTTAGTAGATGTCCATTATGGTCATTTTAGTTTAGGGTATAATTGTCATTAAAATAATATTTCATTAAGTGTGTGTACCGAGGTAACTAGGTGTGTAGAAATAGAATTACTCCTAGCTCATCCTTGGAAGAAGTAGCAGCAGCAGGAGGAAGGAGAGCCAAAGAGAAGCTCTCCTCTTCTTCAGATTTTTAATCTGAAGATCCAGTTTGCCCTACTCATCCTTGAAAGCAACAGCAGCAAGAATGAGAGGCAAAAAGAAGCTCTTTCTTTTTCATAGTATGTCCTAGCTCTCTTTTATCTTCAAATTTTCGATCTTTAGATTCAGTTGAGCATCTGCTGCATTGGTAAATTTTTTTTTTGTTAAACAAGTTATTATTTTTTATTACAAGATTTTATTGATAACATATCCCACACCAACTCTACTCTGTTCAGATTCATTCTTCATCATTATTTTCTTCTTATTATTATTATTCTTTTTCTATGGATGGGATATGTTGTGAAAAAAAAAATAAAATGAAAGAGATGAAGAAGAAATGATGCTCTGTTTTGGCCATTTATGTTATTATGGAATGGAAGAGAGATGTCTACCAAAGTTTGATCTTTCAACTACTTGTATATGGGTTCTATTTTTCAGGGTAACCAATCAAGATTGAAATTAGTTTCAATTTGTTTGTAATAATTTCTCATTGAAAGATAAACATATAAAACAAACAAAAAACAATTGTTTCCAAATCAACTATCTTTTTATTGAATGCATAAAAGAGGAATTTAATAGAATGTCAATAATCAATACAATTTCTAGGTTAAAAAAAAGAAGAAGTTAGATTACTCAAAAAATGGTAAATGGCATTGATTTTTATATACAATGTGGTTGGAATATCACTTAATAAAGAGGCAATTAAATTCCCCTTATATGAAGATGAGAAGAAAGCAACAGCTTTCTATGCCGCAGGTGCGTCAAAGAACAGGTTTTGGTGTTGCAGAATTCAAATAATTCAAAATATTTAATTAAAAAAAAGAGAGTTGTAGTTAACAATTAACAAAGTTAGTTATGAGAAGTAATTATTCCCTTTTCCATTCCTTTTATTAAGTACAAGATTTTATTAAACAAGTCACTGGCAAACGAACGGAAATGAAATGATTCTTAATCCTTTTCCTTTCCTTATAATTATTATTTTTAATCATTTCTTTTCCTTTACTTTCTGGCCAAAATCCTCCCAGCCAAACACACTTTAATAGGTAAAGGCATCTAAACGTTTAATTGTTCTCTTTTGGGGTAAAGTCACAACATAGAGCTTTCACATTTTGATGTGCACAGGTACCTAGTGATTTATGATAAAATGAAGGGGTGAGAAGTATGTTTTATATATTTATTTATCTATTTACCCAGCTTAGAAAATATAATGCTTGTCATTTTGAACAACTTGCTTTCTAAATATTTTTAAGGAGAATTCATATTTTTTTCTGAAATTCTTGACAATTGAACTTATTCAGAAAAGTTTCAATTGTAATTGTGGAAAGGTGGTTGTCTTCCAAGGTAAACACATAGTTAAACATTTCCAATCATGAAAAAGAATTTCTTAAATTAAGTACAATAATACTATTAAATATACTCCTTTTATTGTGGTAATTTCTTGCAACTGCTTGATAATAATCAAATATTAACAAAATAACCAGTCAAGTGTTGAGTAAGAGACTCCTTTATCCCATTAAGTTTCAAATGTTAGTCTTAAGCAGTTTGCATTTTTTTGTTATTACTCTTCTTTTTTTCTTGTCTTTTTATTTTAATCTTGGTGGCTTGTCAAGTCATAAAATTTGTTTGTAGTAGCATGATGTTTTCACTAAGCTATGTTCATATGAACTAAGAAAGGTTGTATAAATTGTGTACAAATGAAGGTAATTAAATTTTATCATTCTTGAATTTGCTATTCCATTGTACTTCAAACTCACTCTGCTATGGCTTTTTGGCCGTTACACTCTGTTTTATGGCAGTCAACACTTTCTATTATCTATTATTTGTTTTACTTTTTGTGCTGATTTTAACCACTTATTGTTTATTTATTTTTTGTAGATGGATAATAATTATGCCGCTAAGAAAGGGAGAAAGGACCTCAGAGAGGAATTTGTAGCCCTTCAACATGTTGTTTCATCCATTAATTATGCATGTACTATGTATATGGTGATTTTACATGCTGTATTTAAGAAGAAAGAAATTAGGTTGCAACTACCTAGATCACCTCACCCCTATAGAAAACAAATTGACCATTTGAATAGATTGGTCAACGATAGTTACATAAATTGTCATGACCAACTTCGGATGAATAGACGTACTTTAATGCTTTTATATGGGTTGGTGTGAAGTGTTGGATTGTCTAATTCAAAGTATGTCGTCTTAGAGGAGCAAATAGGAATGTTTTTGAATGTGCGTGCACATCATATTAAGAACCGTAAAATTAAATTGAATTTCATACGGAGTGGTCAAATAGCTAGTAAGCACTTCAATAATGTTCTCAAGGCTGTGTTGCGCCTCCATGGTCTCCTCCTTAAGAAGCCTGAACCAATAACTGCTAATTGTACAGATGATAGGTGGAGTTATTTTCAGGTACAATATATTTACAACTTTGCTTAATTAGCATATTATATTTTTGTATTGCTTATATTAATTTTATAATTTTGTTTTATTTTTAGAATTGTCTTGGTGCTTCAGATGGAACCTATGTTAAGGTTCTTACCCCTGCAATAGACAAACCAAGGTATAAACAGGAAAGGGAGAAATTGCCACAAATGTATTGAGTGTGTGCTTCCAAGACATGCAATTCATATATGTCTTGCCTGGATGGGAAGGATCTGCTTTTGACTATGGGGTACTTAGAGATGCTGTCAGTAGACCAAATAGGTTGAAAGTCCCTGCTTGTATGATAGTTATATATTGTTATCTATATAAGTACATTATATCTATATTAAACAATTATTTTGTTACATACATAGTGAAACCATCTTACATAATTACAGGCTACTACTATCTCGTAGATGCGGGTTACATAAATGGGGAGAGTTTTCTTGCACCATATATAGGACAACGTTACCATCTTTCCACATGGAGAGAAGGGGGTGCCTTAATAACTCCACAGGAGTTTTTTAACATAAGGCACTCTTCTGCTTGTAATGTCATTAAGAGGTTTTTTGGGCTACTTAAAATGAGGTGGGCAATATTGAGGACGTATTCTTACTTTTTAATCAAGACTTAATTTCA